TTTTTTGCTTTGATTGTCAATTATATGTGTTGATGGCTATTTGTTGACATATCAGCAAAATTTAAAAATATTACCGGGAATATGAAAGTGATTGTTCAGAACTGATATTAAGCTCTTGAATGTGGGAATTTTATTTTTTTTTAATTTGTCAGTATGTATAATTGGTGAACATTTTACCAGAAATTGTTGGTCTAATTATAAAACTATTTAAAAAAAAAATGTCTCTCTGCGTTCTTCAAACCTTATAAATTTGAATATAAAAATCTCTAAAACCTAGAAAAACGGTTGACACCCTGAATTCTGTGTATTGGAACTAGGTTTTCCTGCTGGAAAAATCACATTTAAAAGGGTGTTTGATTGACAAAGGATTGGGCTCCATAGGTTTTGGTGAGTGATTTCGAAATGGCCTTAGAGAATAAGAGAGTTAAGGTTGTCGTAAGAGACGACCTCTTAATCAAACTACAGGGCCATGGTTTATTGCCCTTGGTAACACGGATCTGGTCATCCCAGCTTTTGTTTGATGACAACCTGGTGTGCCAGTAATGAACTCGCCATAAACCCATAAAAAAGCTGTTAGCGTACAGTTTAATATTTTGATGAGGTCAACAACTTGAAACTACCTTAGATAAGGGTCTTACATCGAAATAAGCCCCAATAAAGCCACTCGTGCCGTATGGGCCTGTAGATGAAGTTTTGGTTGGATTTGTGGTGTGAAGTCAAAGTAATATAGTGGATTTATCGGACGAACATCGTTCTGAGGGTTTCTTATGTATCTCCAGTTGGGTTAACAAAAAACTTCTTTGCATGAAGGTTGTTTCTGGTCGAGATACTATTAGTTAGTCGCAATCTGCGCCAGCTTAAACCATGCAAAATGTTTGAAGGGCATTTGTAGTTATCCTTTCAAATAGCTAAGCACACATTCAGGGCTTCTCCAAATGAATGATAACCTTCAAGCTTGTCAATAAGTATTTTTAATATGCTCCACCGCTTGGCATTGAAAAACACTTTCAACACAGCTAGCAGTGTGCCAAGCCACTGTGGAATTCAGGACAACAAAGTCGCTGATGAGCTGGCGGGATAAAAATCTTCAAGCATCGGTATGGGACCGCAACTATTTTGTGGTATCAGTTGTTCGTCTTCAAAATTCTTTATTTCTGGGTCGGTAAACGCAAAACGGAACGGATAAATCAGGAACTTAATTACCAGATCATAATGGATTTCATTGGGCTTGTGTATATGCAGGCCTTGCGGTCACAGCAGTATAATGTCAATATGGCCGTACGTACTACGTGTTCCAGGACATGTACATATCTTGGCCCGAATGTCATGGTCGAAGGAGGGCATGAGGATGACTGAATCGGTGCTGTTGTATGCAGATTAGTCCAAAGTGACACAACGGGTAGCACTAATAAATTGCCGTTTTAAAAGCAAAACCCGAAATTTAACCGAAAACAAACGACAAAAAGAAAGCAGCAGAAGCTAAATATTTAGCTAAAAAACCAGCCCGCGGAGTTTAAAAACCTTAGAAGTTGCAGTTGGTTTGACTAGAAATCTAATTTTAGTCGAAACCATTACTGGACAATCAGATGCTCTACCATTTTCTCTGCATCTTGTATATTACAACTACGTTAAGAAGTTTTGTATGCCTGCACTCGTCTTGAAAATGGCTGTAAGTCTAGACAAATCTTTCATGTTCAACTTGATGGGAAGTGCAGTGTATTTTGCGCAGTTGGTAGCCCACACACCCCTAAGACTCTACACGACGCGTTTAGATTATCTTGTCGGCTATTTCGGTGCAATGAATGCTGCTGTGCTCCGACAACTAGATCAGTAACGAAGACATGCTTGTCAGCTGAAGTCTGAACGTACTCTGAACGCCTGAAAATAACCGGCCCACTTCGGTGGTAGAAAAATCTTTTCGATTTGAAGACCAGATGAAAAACCTACTGCCGTTATGCAACAAACCATTCTTTAGCCGTCCGTAAAAATATAATATGCTTCTAAAGGGGTCAGGAAAAATTAGCAAGAATAAGGAGGACCATATGCATCCTTAACTAGGTATTCTGTGTTCATTTTCCAGTTTAATTTCGGTGAAATAATGACTCCCAAATACATAGGCTCAAATTAGAAATCTCTCTTTTTGGTGACTAATAATAGTTCGCGTGGGTTTTAGGTTGCGCCCGCTGCACTTTGAAGCATCTCGATTATCATATTTATGCACAATCTGGATACCATAATCACTGCATGATAACTTTGACCCTTTCGCTATCGAGTCTTAGAAGAATGCACGGCGACAGTACACTGTCTCGATGAGTCCTCTTCTTTGGTTACTTGATAACTTCGCTGCTGTCTAGCTTAGCGCTTATAATCCTATGGTGGAAATCCAGTTTACCAGGAAGTTCTCAAGCCACAGATTGCTTGCTGAGTGACTGCCCTATCGTCTATAGGCTGACGTTGTTGAATGCTCCTTCTATCCATATACAGGAAAACCGCCAACGTATATTGCTGATTTGCATACATGTACGGAGATACAACTGTATTGGATTCCGAGACACACTGACTTCATTGGCAACGAGAAGGCAGATAGACTTGGCAAAGTAATACGCTTTTTCGGCAGACCCACGAATAGAATGTGCCGATTCGACTGCCGAAAAAGAAATGGCTGCCCAACTGGTATACGATCCAGCAAGCGAGTATGTTTTCTAGGGATGTTCAAATAAGATCGGTATTTCCAAAACCCAGTTTTTTTTTAAATTTGGTTAATGATCTTTTTCAGTCTTTTCTAATTAATTTATTTTTTCGCTTTTAAACCGAAAACATAAAATTCGCTTTAACAGAATGGGTAATTATTTTTCAATTCTTAGAGATAAGAATAAAATTTTACGGCGTACCACAAACTTCAAATTAACTAAATTTTTGTTTGCTGATCTAGTAGCTAAACATAAGTTGATTGTGAATATTGAATTTTCATACAAAGTTTGAAACCTACTTTGCATATGTCGTTTGCTAAAACATAACCAATATTTTAATAAAAAATTGACAAAAAATATTTACCATGAGAAACATTGGAAATATTTAAAAAACATTCACCATACAATTAATTTTGAAGTTAATAATATATAACCATATATATATGTATGTATGTAATTATATACATATCGCTCATTTACTTCAATAGTGTCATTATCAAAAAAATACAAATTTTGATTTGAGTATGCAGAAAATACCGCTACCTTTACTTCCATGTTTTATGAATACCAAACCGTGATTAATCCAACAACCGATTTTTTTGAAACCGTTTTTTTTCTGTAGATGGTTGTCTCAGAGGTTATACTTTTTATTTATTTTTACCTGAATTGAGGCGCTTTGAAATAAAACTTCTAGGGATTTCGAATTTGGTCTTTTTTTTGGTTTAGGAAATTTTTCTGTTAACTTCTAATTATTTTGTTGACCAAAATTTTAGTTTTAGGTGAATATTTGAGCAATTATGAATGAGTATGTACATATGTATGTATGTATGTATGTCGTGAAAGGTATGATTATTATGTCGGATTTTTTTGATATGTTTGTTTCTTTAATTAATATTTATGTATAATGCAAAATATTGAATAAAAGCACCATTTGTTAATGAAAATAGGAAAATAATGCATTTTTTTCAGACCTAATTCCGCTTAATGCACCAAAATAAAAAAATAAATAAAGATATCTAGTATATATGCATATGTAAATATCTAACTATGCCTTTATGGAATTATGTAAGTTTAAATGACATCGGCAAAATATACTCTTATCACTTATGTATGTAAGTATATGTATGTATTTAGTCCAAAAATAAGGTCAACAATGATTAAGCCGCAGCCACAAACTCCGTGAATTAGTATTTTGCACCAAAATAAACTATAAAATATTGCCATATTTCAATAAAAAAAAAAAATCGCAATATGTTTAAGCTTAAAACCAAATAATTAAAACACTAAATAAAATAAAAAAAATTTCTTATGTAATGGCAATAGCAGTCGTTGCGTTGCGATGCGCTGCAATGTGCATCAAACCCATAAAACCTTAAAAAAAAAATATGATTGCAAAATTAATTCGTTATTTTCGGCGAACGTTTTTCTACCTTAAAAAGAAAATGGTGTCAAATGTAGCTCTAATAAAAAAAAATGTTTACTAAAAATGAATTGCAGTGCTCCGCTTGAGTGTGGTTGCCATGGTTAAATGATTTCGCCTTTTGTTATTGCGCGCTTTACTGTACTCATATTTCCGCACTTTTTGGTTAACCATTTCATTTTAAAAATATGCCAAGCATCCATTTCCATTATTTTTCACTGGTATGCAGCTATTACAAAAAAAAAAATTAGATTTTTTTATAGATATTTCATTTGGCATTGATTTAATTGCAGTATCCCAGAAAAAGACAAATATTATGAACATGCAAGCCTTATTGGTTGGTAAAAGTTATTATTTATATTTTAAAGGCGAAAAATAATAAATTGTTATAAATCTATAAATTCATGCGGGAGGAAGTTTTAAATTTTATCAAATGAAATGTTGCTGTCACTTTGGTGCGCCGCGTGAAAATACACTGAATTGGTAGGCGTAATAATTTGCTGTCATTTTTTAAGGGGCAACCGAATTGTTCATAAATCATCGATTTAATGGATAGAAATGAATGAGTCAGCATTTAACTAATTTAAAATGCGAGAACAGTAACCAATTGCACGAAGGTTCTATTATGTGTATTGATTAACTGAGGGTGTGGTAAGCTTACTTACACAGCCGGTTGAACATGCACTTTCTTAAGCGATAATTTCTTAGTTAAAAAAGTACCATTTTGTGCCGTTATTTCTTCGGTGGTGCTGCTTAAATGAATTGTACGTTGCTCGTCGCTGAGCTAAATAATGGTCCATATAAAGCAATGGCGATCAAAAAGACCTTTTACTCTAAGGTTTATAGAAAACTTTTAAAAAGCTTCTCACTCGGGTTTTGATCGTAGCTGTTCTAGTTCAGCAATCCAGAGACAGCTTTTGTTCTCTGAAAGTTCATATAACTAAAGTCAACTAAAAGCTTATCCGTGTTTTCAACCTGGCTCATGAGCTTTAAGCTGTGAAATTCAAAAACACATTGCTAGTTAAAAACTAATACATTACATGGATCACTTTTCTTGTCTTAAAAAAAAAAAAAATCTGGTGAAAATTAGTTACCATGTTGAACTTCTGAACGGCCATAAAACTTTTAAAAATGCCTTCAAAAACTAACCAAAACAGATTTTTTCTTCCCAGAGCTTTTCATAGATTGTATGTATACATTGTCTCAACGGAGAATATGTACATTTTGTTTGGAACTTTTTTTTCGGAACTAATATTTCCAACCTCTAAATGGTCGTTTCATTAGAAAACGAAAAAATACGAATCATCGGAGATGCTCAATAATTTGGTGGTATTACTGACACCCGGTTTCAACCAGAAGTGTGTTAAACAGACCGGAAGTCCATTTTCTACCGGAAGACTATTCTAGCAAAAAGTTTCCGGCCAAAGTTATGTATTTTTATCCGCAGAATACAGTGCTCAAAATAATTATATCCCATTGGCAGCTTGCCTGTGCTAGAAATACGTTGTCGAATTTCACAGCTGAAAGCTCTTTTAAGCTTTCAATTCATTTTATATGAAAGCGCAGAGAACAAAGGCTTTCTCTGGTTATCTGGTATTAGCCTGGCTTTTACATTTTAGCTCAGCCTGAAAGATCAATTAAATGAAAGCTCCAAATTCGGCGCTTTAGCTAAACGAATGAAAAAGAGGAAAAATGTTGTTTGTTATAAGCCAATATAAACAAACGCTTCGCTTTGAACTTGGAACTTTTTAAACTAGAGTAACCCACTTCATAGTTTTGCTTTAGGTCTGAGCTTTTTACGATTGCTATTTATGTACATACAATGTACATATGTTTTTGTAAATATTTCGTATAAACTTACAATGTATTGTCTGGCCAACACTGGCTTATGCCCTCAGAAGCGTTAATAGTCCCATTTGATGACAAAAGTGAAAGCTCTCTGGAAAGCTTTTTTGGTAAAAATGCTTAAAATGGACGTTGTTTCTGGAAATAATATTTGCTAGGAGTTTCATTAAGACGAAGAAATTTGTTCAAGCTTGGATAGCCTCTAAGTATTACAAAATGCTTCGAAGTTAAAAATATGAGCTTTCATTTCATAGTTCGAAAAGCAACTATTTAGTTTAGTATACGCTAAGTTTTTATCTTCTCAGCCTCTTAAAAGCCCAATGGCAATTGAATTTTGCGCTCATTGAAGTGGTCATTACAAAAACGAAAAGCTTAATTCTATTTACTACCCAGTAAAGAAAAAAAGGTGGACCAGCTTCGCAGCTCAGTGACGCAAAGAACGAATTTAGATATTTTGAGAAAAGTAAGCTGCATTAGTCTTAGCGGTAACCTCAAAAACCAATCCTTACTTTCCAACTCCAACTCGTTGTGCGATTGCCAACACCAAAATCACTAATTATGTTATTTATGGGTTACCAAAATGATAATCTTTAGGAAATTTTGTCCCTTTTTGACGCAAGCAAAATTGTAAGTGATACTTTTTTTCATTATAACTAAATTAATTAATATTAAAATTAAGGTAGGGTAAACAAATAAGCATCACTAGAAAAGTTCATCTAAATAATAAGGGCATAATAAAAGCAAAAGGGCTAGAAAAGTAAAAAAAAAAAACAGTTGTAGTCGGGGTGAGGGTGGAATGTGGGCAGCAATCAACGTAAAATGTGACAATATACAAAAATAAAGTACCTGATTTCCTCCTTGGCCATGACAAGGATACGGATCAACGGCCGATTGCATTTCATTTCCACTCGCGACCGAATCGAGACACATATCAGTGTAAATATTTGCTATCTGAAATTGGCGAATGAAGTTCGATTGCAAAGAATAAGTATAATAGCCTGTTTCTTTTTTTGTTAAAATTTCGGTTCTTATAATTTGCAGGCAAACCCATAACCAGTTCGAGGAGTGTAGGGGACATATATGTATGTATGTATGTTTTTTTCAAGAATTTTTTCTAAGCCAGTAAATGGTTTTTAGTAGTTTTTGTCAAACATAAAATATGTAAGGGGTTAAATTGGAGAAGAGGTAGAAAAGTGGTAGTTGAATATAAAAACCATATTACAAGTAGATAAATTAAAAAAATAAACTCTTAAAATTAGCTCTCTAAGTTTGTTTTTGTTTTGCTTTTAGCTATTCTCTAGATATACGTTTGTGGTACGGAGCTTGTGGCGGTCGCATATACATTGTCCTTCATTGTTGCTTAGCTATTAGAGTACATTTTGATTGCCGTCTTTCGTTGTTTTTTTTTTTATTGTTAAACACTTTTACACAAACCTGATTGCCACCTTGTCTGTGGCAAGGATATAGTCCCACAGCCTTCTTCAAATTCTTCTTGTCCGCTGGAGAGTCCAAACATGTGCGACCGCCAGCACCTAGATTTCTTATCTGCATATTTTTTGTTGTTTTTTTTTTTGTTTGGGGAAAAATTTTAACAAATTACTTGGTTAATCACATAAGTACATACAATCCTTGGGAAAAATATGGAGTATGTTATTAATATTGGTATTTATGATTTTCAGTCCCTTCTCTTGTAAAATTTTGTTCTCAAGATTAATTTAATATTAAAATATATAATTAGTATTCATGCATGTTGTATGCTTGTGTATGTTTGTTATTAAAGTACGTGCAACTTACCTCGCCATGCGCCACTGAATCGCCAGGTATGAATAATTCCGGATAGATATTGTCCAGATACCATTTGAAGCTCTTGCAACCGAGATTTTCTCTGTTTTATTGTTTGATAAAAACTCTTAATTAGCATTTTATAAAAGCAATGCAATAAATGAAGGATAATTATTATATAAAATCGGTGAAAGGCAAAACCAAAAAAAAAATGAAATCAAAAAACCTTCAAAAAAAGGAAGCAAATATATCGCGCCCTAACCGCCAAAAAGACGTAAGCGTCATAGTTTGAATATGAACAAGTATATGGATCACAAGAAAGTACGTTTCCATCACAGCCGGACCTACGTACCGGAATGACCAGAGTTTTGCCTGTTGTTCTGGCGATCTACCCCAATCTGATTCGGGTTGGCATTGAGTCCCATTCCCTACCAGAAACCTATTTCTATTCTGTATGCCAGAGACGGCTCCATGACAAATGGCGTCCTTTGTCTCCAAGCAAGGTGCCGAAGGGGGCCATGGGCTCCATTTATCTCATCTGAGCTACAGATCATATCCTCAGCATCGATAACCTTGCCCACGCTTCATCAAACAGCTTTTGGTACCTTACAGCCTCCATGTACCAGTTCAGAATATATCGGAATATGACTTCAGGTGAGCACAAACTTTCCTAGGATGGTGCCACTTTCGACCAGGCAAAACACACCCGAAATAGACATAGGTAATCCTACTTGATCACTCAACTCGCGTATAGCGGAGATAATCATTTTCATGGGTCAGTTGAGTATATTGATAGCTGAGATCTAAGAAACGGAGTTACACTGCATATCGATATTGATGAATTGTGCCGGCAACACTAAGCTCCGTAACAGTCAGAAAACCCAGCGTTCATATAACTCAACACTGTGATGTATCATTTCATTGAAGAGGAACGATTTTTGCCATTCAACACTGTCAAATTATTGTATTTGCCTCGTCTGGTCGAACAATATATGTTGCAGCTCTGATAAATAGCACAATGGGTTGACAGGGGCACTTTTGTTGTCCGTCGAATTATGGTAAAGTAGATGGTGCTTGTTTGTATGCGCCTTGGTGGTGACCGCTAAAGCGTCCAATTTTAAGAATTGTCGGGTCGGCGCCATTTGACCGGGAACCAACCACACTGGCACTGAGGACCGCTGGTTTTGCGGACAGGCACGTAGATTGCGGCAAAACGCGTAGCTGCGTGCCGAGGAAGAACTAAGCGAGCATTGAAGAGGGGAACATCCCTATTGTGTGCGAGTATAATTTTCCTAGTTACTTAAAAAAATATCTGGTATCAGACGCGGTACAGTGTTTTTGAGACAGATTTGCGTACGTGCCTGGAGAGTGGAACCTGAAGCTGGACAGGCAAATCTAGGAGTAACCTCAGTCGAAGCGGCAAATCGCGGAGTCAGTAGTAGATATGGGCGGCATAACACCGCAGGAGCACTCTAAGTAAGTATTCTCTGGTTTGTTTCCTGTATTTTTCCATTGGTGTTGTCGGTAGTTTTTACCTCTTGCGTCCCTTATCCTATCCTTTTAGCATCCCGAAACCAGATCCCAGTCACTTGGCGAGTTAAAGTTACCCCCGGCAGTTTGGGAGGCATTACGAGTAAGTTCGTAACCTTTTGGCTGGACCTCACCTCATGTACACCAACAAATAAGGATTTTTTTGTAAAGAAAAGTGTGTAGGTGATTGTGCTACGTAGCATGTGAATACGGTCGCCTACGTTATGTTGATCTCGAGGTCCCTGTATTAGGAATTTCAACATGCGGACTCGACGACTGTTAAACCGGAATAAGCGGGGAACAAGAGCGACGAGCACTTGAAGACCTGCAACTTCACATATGATGTGAATAAGCTCTGGTCATCCGTGTGGTAGCTATCCAACTCGACGAGGTGCGATGAAGGTTTGGAAATCATTTCTGCGATGAGATCTCGTAGGATCCGAAATGATATGATAGCTATTTTAATCAATGGTTCACACTGAATGGATAAAGCCATATGTGCTACCAAAAGACTCCGCAGCTTCCCGAAACCTTGTGCGTATATTGCTTCCAGCAGGGGCGAAGTTCAAGTGGATATCGGTAAGCTTAAACGTGTCTTAAGTCGTTGGCCTCGACACATTATGCACGTTCGTGCTAAAATACTTTTCGTTGACTCTAATTATTCCTAACTTTTTGGAGTCTGGGTGAGTGGTCCCAAAGCCGGGAAATGCTGTCACCAAAGAAGGGTTTTCTCGACCTATAGTACCGTCACCACTGCCAGCGGACAGTGAGACATATTCTATACCACAGAGACTAATCTGAATGGTAGACCGTCGGCAATACTCATTCAAAACCAAACCTGGAGCCAAAAATATTTAAACAGGGGGTCACACCGGGTGGTGTGCTCTTTCCAATACTATTTACCTTCTGACCCCTCTACTGGACAGGATTACTAATGTAACAAAATTGAGCAGATAAACTGGAGGCCAAAATGAATGACCTGGCATGAATTAACAAATTGATACACCATCAATAGTATACAAAAGTATTTGAAACCATATAATACTGTTGCTTTTGCTCGATTTTCCTACGTACATATACTTGTGTATAATCTCTGCATATAAATACTTTTCAATGTATTCCATACTTACCTAAGCGCTCTGCGTGAGCTCACATCTCCAAAATCGCCCTTGTTGTATCCAATGCGTTGATAGTAGTATTTCGCATAGTCATCTAGCCAAACTTCAGCCAAGCGTACGGAATTCTTCTTCAGCACATTAACACCGGAACGCCACTGCGGAAATTTCAAGCAAACAACAGGAAGATGTTAATTGAAAAACAATTGAAAAATTTCAAAAATTAATAGCCAAGCAGTTGAAAGGAAATGTGTAAGTGAGTAAATTTGTGAAGAAGGAAAGAAACTCTACACTAATTAAAAGCAGTAAGAACAAGTTGTTGCAAGGATGAAAGCGGAAACGAGGAGATAGTAAAGAATACAACATCAACAGGGTGGCGCAAGTGTTTGGGCTAATTTAAATTTCCTAAAATTACATATTTAGAATCGATAAATATTTGTATATTTGTATGCTATTATCGACTTTTTTGTAATCGATATTTTTATATGAGCCCTGTTATAGTTATCGATAACGATTTCTAGTTTATCGGTTTGTATGCGGAGGAATATAGAATCACAATAAATAAATATTTGTATTTTGGTATGTTATCGACTTTTTTGTAATCGATATTTTTTTAACGAATCCCTATTATAGTTTTCGATATCGATTGCTATTTCCATCGGTTGCATAAAGACCAATTTGAATTAAAAAACGCCAGTTTAATTTGAGACACCTTTTATATGTATAAAAGTATTGTACAAAATACATTAGGGACCACTGCATGCCGGGAATGTTTCATTAGTGCCCAGCAATTCTCATCATACCAAACGAGTGAAGGATATACACATAAAATGCCAAATGACTATCTCTGTTGTTATGCCATTGAAACACTAATTACCTGCTGCCGGATGGCTAGTATGTAGCTCGGGTAGTCGGCCGCTCCAATGGTCTCTACGAAGAAGCATGCTTGTTTTCAAATAATTTCGAAACCACATTCCTACCCTCTAGGCATTAGACAAACACATTTAACATCATTGCAGTAACTTCATTTCAACACTCTACACCCTGAACTTCCAGCAAAAAAAAATAATCGGCGCTAAGAAAGGCGTATTTTTTTTTTGGGTGTTGCGAAGCAGCAAGGCCATGGCTGGGCGGCGGGAGACAGTACTGTGCCACAAATCACAGCAACGATAATTGCCAAAGCATGAGCGTAGAAGAGAATGCTTGCAAACGCTAAGCAACAATGCAAGCGAAAATCATGAAAAATTGTTCTACCAAAAGTGTGGTGCAGACATTGTGGCAACATTTGAAAGAAGTCTACGTCGACTGGCAGCAGGAATAGTTGTGGTTAGAAAGGAAATGTGAGCACTTTATGGGGGTGCTCGCACTGTTTGGTTGAACTTGAGTACAGAGGCAGGTGGAAACGTGTCTGATTTTGCCTTACGTTGGTTAATTGCTTTTCTACCCCAAAAAAAAACGAAGGGATATTGAGTTCCACATACTAAGGGAGTTGTGGCATATAATGCTTTGGGTTCAGTTTGCATACGAGTTCTTTTTCTCTCTCTTTCTCTCACTGCTTATTTTTATCCAACTCTTTTACTCATATTCGTATTTAAGTGCAAGTATGTAAGTACATGCATGCCTTACAACTCAATTTCCACATCTTGCATCCTACATACATATGTATTCACATATGCGCATTTCCAGGCGTTTATTGTTGTTCAGGTGTTACACATTACTGGGTGGTTTTCCTGCACTGCCCAGACAAATGGCGCGTCAACACTTGGGCCATAGAAAGGTAAATTTACGTGCATTACATTGTGTTTGTCTGAGTTCGTAATAGACAAACGTTTGCTTTGCTGGCCGGTTTGTTTATTTATTGCACTATGTCCTTTGGGGTCGTTCCAACAATGGCCAGGTTAAGAGGCACTTGCAATTTATATGCGCTCACATAAATATATGTATATCGTGAATGCTCTTATTACACAATAGTTGAGCGGGTAAGTGCTGCAACGAAATACATATACGAACACCTACATACACAGACATATCGTGCATTCAAAGCTCTAAGTATCAATCGTGCACTGTCCGGCAAGGATATCAAATTGTACTCATTCTATTGGTGGTACGCGTAGTAATTTTATCCAGCCATTCCAAATGAAAGTGAACTGTAAGCAACACTTTTCGTTAATAATTTCACTTTGTTTCAATGATTTGGCATATCTGACTTAAATTAATTTAATGGATTTTAAAATAGAAAGACCTGAACTTTTGCGAAAGAGAATCTAACTGGAACAATTTTTCGAGAGGCACTGCAGAGAAAAATATGCCGCGAACAGGGCCACGCTAAGAGAGATAAGTATGTGGATTTATATAATACACGCATGGAGCTGAAGATGGATAGAGCCTGAAAAACGCCAATACGAGCAGCTGGAGATGCTAGTAGACAGGAAAAACGTCCGAAATTTGTATCAGAAAGTTACTCACTCCCTGTTTGGGACATTTTATTTTGTTTTGAAGCTGAGCAGCTGATGATATTGTTGTCTATATACGATTTTGAGGGAAAATAGTGCATGCGATTCGCTGCAAACGCATAAAAATGAGAACGCGGCAACCCGAATTATCAAGTCGTTCGTACAGAAAATCTAAATCAATTTGATTCGAACAAAGAGTGTTCGGCACATTTTTGTCCCACTCTCAGTGAGACACAGTGGGAAAGGAACGCATAAAATAAAAAAAAATACTTCTTAAACGATTTCTGTCTCGTAGCTTTCTTGGATATTGAAGGCGCGTTTAAAACGTACTCCCAGACGCCGCGACATTGCAATCGCCTTCAGACGAAAGTTTCCACACACGCTGTGTGAGCTGATACAGCGAACGCTTTAGGATGTATCCAGGTGGTCCACCCGCTGTGGCCAAAGCGTCAGCTCAACCGAGGAGAAGCTCGTCCTCTTTACGAGAAGGTATAAAATGCCTTCGTTTACTCTACCAAAGCTTAACGGCGTCCGGCAAGTCTTGTTACAAAAGCCAAATTTCTAGCCGTTATTTTAGATAAGAAGCTGGAACTGGAAGGAGAGTATTGTTCAACATTGCGAGAAGGCAAAAGATGGGGCCTCAGTACCCGGATTTGTCGATAGATATTTATAGCAGTCGATAGACCGATCCTCCTATATGGAGTGATCGTATGGTGGCCTGCATTAGATAAAGAGGTCAACCTCAGGCTACTCACCAAGGTGCAAAGGTCCAGAATCACGTCAAACAATGCTCTGAACGCTATTTTAGATTTTCTTCCACACGATTTGGCAGGACAGCAGTTGGCAGCGCTCGTTGCTTTTCGCATAAGAGAGGCATCCTAATGGTGACCTGAAACCTAGGGGCACTCTTGTATATTAATTCAACTTTGCTTCATCTCGAGCAGCACAGACCGACTTGTCAAAATTCCAGGCACACGAGACGTAAATGTGATCGGAAGCGGTCACGAAGGGTATACGCTCTTAGAAGAGAGGATATATCTAACCTTGTGGGGGCTCTAACCGGGCGCTGCCTTTCCGAAGATGTTGCAGAAGTTGTAAGGACTACGAAAAGTCCTACATCTCCTATGTAAATTCCCTGCATTGTGTAACAGGCTGCGTTATCTGGGTTCCCCGTTCCTGGCTGATTTTAAGGAGGTTTCAAATCAAATACCGATGCAAGATGCCTGACGAGATCCATCAGCGACACGAAGTGGCAAACTGTGCTACCACAATGGGGCTTAAATCTGTTGCCTTAGTGTGCTGTGAAGGTGCCAGCCACTTCTATCTACTTCTTATTAGACTATTCTGTGACGAGTTGGGGACAATTTCTGACTTGCTGTTGGAAATTTGGGACACTTACTACACTGGATATTTTCTATAGGCGTCAGTTGAAACAAGAGCCACCAGAGGCCAAAATCGCATAGGTGGTTACCGCGCAAAACTATGTTTTACTATTCTGGGTGATGATTTGAATGAGGTATCGATGCTGGTGTTTCTTAGAGAACCTTGGCTTAGGCTAGCTTAATTAAAGCTCTATCTAATCCTTTACACAACTCTTCAGCGACCTTTTCTTTTCCTCATACTGTCTCACCGTACTTGCGCTGGTTTCTTTACTTACCTTATATGGCGATCGTTTGCGGAAGATATGACCAACTTGTGAACAGGGTATAATCTCTAATGTACCACCGCACATCCAGGTCTTGAAAGATAATTCCAAATTCTCACCACCCCAAATATCGAAGCCAGAGTCATAGGTGCCAAGACGTTCGAAGAATTTCCGATCAATGGAGAATAGGCCACCAGCCATGGTAGGAGAGGGAACAGGCGCAGCATTGTGCTGGAAGAGAAAAAGAAATTCAGAATAAAAATTGCAGTTTAATTTTATGTACAACAAGGACAATATTATTGCAAGTAAAATTAAGCAAAAAAAAAAAAGTTTTTGGAAAAAAGTTTACCAGTTATGCCGAATTTCCACTAGGGATTGAAATGACGAAAAAGTTGTGCCATGTGGAAATGTATTTAAAGGCAATTTGTGTTAACGCAATGACACAGGAATTTTTTAATGCCCAACTTTTGCAACATAATTTGTGTCTTCTAATACCTACTGGAAATCCGGCATTAGGTTGTAATTGCGGCTGAAAATTCCATTATCTACGTGCCTGTTTTAGGCTCACTTCCCCAGATTTATTTGTAGGTATGCTTATCTTATTATTTGATCCAAGTATTGTACACAGGTCGTTGGTAATACATATATGTATGTAGGTACATTCGGGTGGTTCAAAAATACATTTAAAAATGAACTTTTTGGAATTTTCTGCTGCCTTCCAAACAAACAGGACAATTTGGGCTAAAATAGTTGAAAGTCTTTTGTAAGACAATTGAAAGACAGTAGGCAAGATAGTTCGAGTTTTTTTGTATTCTGGCACGAAAGTCTTACAAAAAAGCTCCCCTGCTAACTTTAATGGTGAAAAGCTCTTTTGGCAGAACGCATTTGTATATCATTAAGTAAAGCACTGGCGTACCATTCGGGCAGCGAATTTTGTTCTTATTTAATATAGTTATTAAATTTTTTTTTGTTAAATTTTTATCGTTTTTATTGTTTTAAAAGGAAAAATATATGAATATTTTAATTATTTTTAACTTTTAGAAACTTATTTTTACGTATTTTTTCGATTCTAAATTAAATGTTTAGATTTTATTGTTTATTTAATGTTTAGGAACTTTAGTTTTCTTCTTGTTTCTTAATAATTTTTTTTTTTTAAATCTAATATCTCAATTTTTTTGTCGTAATAAGATTTTTTTATTCAATTAAATTTTACGGATTTTTTGGTTAACTTTTAGATTATATTTTTTCAAATAATTGTTTTGCTTAATTAAATTTTCTGATATATTTTAGATTGTATTATTTTACCGAGAAACATTTATTTTTTAATTTCATTTAAATTTTAGGAACTTATTGATTTTTTCTTTTTTTTTAATTTTATTTATTTTTTTTATTAATTAAAATTTCTTTTAGTTTTTTATTTTAATTCTTTTAAAAAAAAAAAAAAATAATTTATTGATTAGATACATTTACTTTTTAGTAAAGTAAAGTAAAAAGACAAACAGAAAAACGCTAAGATCTTTCAGATCTTACAACTAGTCTTTCGATAGGCCGAAAAGAGCTTTCAAGATAGCTGCCAGAATTGAAAATTGTCTTACGAAAGACTTTGCCTTTAGACAGACTGACGTGAGTTGCAAGACAGTTGCCGGAGTTGCCCTATAAGGAAACCCATATTTAATTTTTTTTTTAGTCTGAAAATCGGTTAATATATAATAAGAAAGGTTTCTATATATTTCACATATGAAAAAAATTATATTTCGGACTTTAAAAAAAAAAATGTGGTCGCTACCAAGGTTTAGAAATTTAATTTAAAAAATCTAGATGTTGATATTTTAAGAGCTACCCTAATGTTCATACTACGTACATACACTAGTGCATAACAGGAATGCTAATTTGCCCTTTGCACCCGACATGCCATCAAACTAACTATTATAAAGTATATACATACTACATACCTACTAAAATAATTAAGTCTTTATAGTTTACAGACTTCTGTACTTATATGTATGCATTTATTTGCTGGGGGGTAATTGTGGTTACAAACACTTTTAGTTGATGTTAACTTTGTTCAATTTTTATTTGCACTGTGTGCCGTACACTTTACTAAAACAGCATTAGTTACGCTTACTTATATGTAAATAACTACATAGTGGGAAATCTCTATTAACTATTACTTATGTACTCGTATGTATGTATGCATGATGTACAAAAAAGGGTTCACTACTTTCTACGCAAGCACCAAAACAAATGTAAGCACACAAATAAAGTGAATCACATAAAAACACATTTTTTTTTTTAATTTTTGTAATTGAAACAAAACAGCATTAACTTAATTGCACTGCCATGACCAGGCAAGTGATTCCAAATGGCACTGTATATACGTGTTTGAAGAGTAAAATAGAGCGAGCGAGCAGTTATTGCAAAAACTATTATCTGAAATGTTGTTTGTATTTGGCAGTTTTCATAATGTGCTTGCTACAAAATGGGTTCTACGAAATGCAAGATGGTTTGGAAAGCTTGATCCTTATTTATGTATGTATTTGTGTTAGTATTTGTAATTTCAGAATCAAATATTTGACGGATGGTAGTTGACATGGTTAAGAATACCCATCAGCATTAAGAAAAAAATTGGTCAAGGGTTTACAGAATGCGCGGGTAGGAGAGGAGTGGGGGAAGTTTATTTTCACTCAGCACTATTTTGCCGTTCTATACTTCAAAATACTATTTCTAAACCATATTCATTAAAGTTTAGTACAATGCCAGATAACCCAGTAAATTGGTAAATTTTCTCTCTCTAAGACTACGGAAGATATGGTGTAACTTTTGAGCCATCAAGGAACACTTAAAAGTATGTACAACTAAAATTGTATATCTGCGTAAAAAAATATATGTTTTAACAATATCTTCGGCCGTAAGGATTTTGTAACCCCTTAAACACAAAAGTGAAGCCTATCTGTAGGCGCTAAAACATTGAGTTATTTAGTAAGAGAAGTGCCCGAGAGAGAGTGAGGGCAAGCAAATAAATTAACTCGCAGTGAAATCGAAATAATCGATAACGAGAATATACAAAATTTTTTCCTTGATTCAAAATTTTGGATAAGTTTCTATAAGGAAAGCGAGAACTTTAGAGGAAAATGGTACGTGTGGCAACCAAGTTTTACTTATGATCGGCTATAGTTTTAATGCTAGATATTTAGTAAAGTTTTTTTTTAAGTTGAAGAGCTGAAAGTTCGGAACCCTTTTTGGGGGTTCTTCAAAGAGCACACATTAAGGCGATTATAAATAACTGGGTAGACAAAATGTTCAACAGCTACTGG